CGACGGTTTGTTGTTCCCCGCGATTTTGCATTCTCCGTTTCATTCACCTGCGTCTGAACTCAGGTCGCCGTGTGCCATGGGATATTAGTACAGCGGATTTTTGCTTCATCATAAATAACATAGATTTTTTTTTTAAATTATTAACACGGCATGGGTTGCAAGGGAGGTGTTTTTGTAAAAAAAAAATAGCACACCACTGCCACCTGTTGGTGTTTTGTTTAGAAGCAGCAGAGCTATTTCAGACAATCAGCACAATATGAAAAAAACAATAATAGGGGTTACCCTTTCTGGCACAAAAAAACACTGGCGTTAAGACGTTCAAACACCAAACATTAACCTTTTGCAAGGAATCAAGTCTGCATTAACCACACAAAGTACTTGTAGTGAACATACAAAACAATGCATACATCAATGCATTTATTATTGAGCATGTGTTTTGTTTGTATGTTCACAAGTACGTGTGGTTAATGCAGGCATGATTCCTTGCAAATGGTTTATATTTTGTGTTTGAACATCTTAACACCTGTTTTTTTGCCAGAAAGGGTCAACCCTATTCTTATTTTTTTCATAAACATTGATACTGCCAAAAAGAGATCCCATTTTAATCAGCACAATATTTAAATAAACTTCAATGCATTCCAACCATTCTCAATCCACCAATGGACGGGGGCCTCTCCCCACACTCCGTAGGTCATGGGAGGGCGGGAGGTTCTTTGATAATACTTGACCACGCTGGTAAGCCTCGGTTGGTCACAGGGTTGGTGGGGGCCAAATCGAGTTCGGTTCACACTCACCACTGATGTCAGCGAGCCATTAGCAAGGATAATAAATTTTCAAATAAAATTCAACAATTTTGTGAAATAATTGTGTGATATTCTATCTGTTGTTATTGCCTTTTGTATATATATGTTGACAGAAATCCTCACCACATTGACCACCTAACATTGCCTTATAAAAGAGGTGATCACCAGGTGGGTCACAGGTCAGAGGGCAGAGTCTGCAGCACTGAGATCTTGCTGGGCAGCAATCGGTGATCTAACTGGGTTCTCTCGTGTAGTGAGTTGGCGGTCTTAGCACAATCACGACCGAGTAAACATGAACCGTTGGGTTAGATCGCGTTAATATGATTGTCGTTAAATCCGAGAGAGGAAGACTTCTTCACATTTCTGGCTGTCGCCTGAAGCTAGTCATAATCACCAGCGAAACGTCGTACTCCAATTGTGAATGTTATTGGTTTACACACAACCGGTGTGCTTAAATAGTAACTGATTGGCACGTTTTGTTTACGTGACAAACTTTACCAATTGGCCGTGTCGGGAGGTGGTGGGTTTAACGGCACAGCAATTATATTTAGGCGATCCAACCAAAACAACCCCCTTCTATTTATTCAATTTATTTCAGTTCGTTTTCATATGCGGGATTTTAGTTTGGAACGCTGGAACACGACGGCTTGAACCTTGTAGACTATAGGAGGTCGTTGGAGAAACGTTGGACATCACGTTTCCAACGACGCACAAACGTTGGCGATGACCAGATTGGCTCCCCGTTGTGCGCGCCTTTAGAGGGGAAACCGCGTGATGCATCGCAATTGTTCAAAACATCTAAATGTGGCGCAGCATCTCACGGTGGCGTGCAAATAAGGCGGAGGCGCATTAAGGCCAGCGTAGGGAAATTCGACGAGCGGACAGTACGTTGCGCTAAAAGTGAAACTTACATTAATGAACGACGCAAAGGGAAAGTCGGTGTTCATTTTACTCACGCGCAACAAAAAAAAAGAAGCATCAAACGTTTCTTTTGAATCTGCATCTTTAAACAATATACGATGTGTCTTCAAAATTCCCTTAAAGTATATAAAACATTACAAAACCTCACACGAAGAGATAATATGTCACGATCTTTACAGTCCGGGAAAAAAGCATCCCCGACCCCCAAGCTGAAGGTGCAGTCATCATGCCTGCTAATCAATTCTTCAATAAGTTTTCGAAATTATTTGATATTAACAAAGGATTGCCTAGCAATACTTATTGGAGTATTTAACGGCGGTCGATGCGATTTTGAGATATATGTCTTCGAACATCATTTACTTATTATACGAAGGACACCTTTAGCCACCTTAAACTTGACTCAGTCACATCAGTGAGACGTGACCTTATAACAATCATTTAAACTTGTAACTTGCCCACATCGATGTCTGCTCGCTCTCTAAGAGAAAGAACGACTCTGAGGTGGGAGGAGGAATAACAGGCGAGCGGTAGCAGCCAGACGGTCAGCCGATGCCAAAATTTTCCCCAAAGTTCTGCGGTCCTACATATATATTAAGTACATAAAACAAAAAGTCATTGGCGTCACTGTGGGGAATATAAATGACAAAATAAGCAGACGATGTCTCCTTCATATGTCTGTCTCTCCACGTAAACAAGTGCAGTGTATGTCTTACACAACCCATCAGCTGCACAGCCTTCTGGGAGTGCATGTCAGCAGCATTGATTCAAGACAAAACTGACTCTGCTGATGATTCACTGCAATGTCGAAACCAGTCCAGAGTCAGGGTTATCTTGAATCAATGCTGCTGAAATGATGCATTCCCACAAGGCTGATGGGTTGTGTAAGAAATACTTAAATTTTATATGTGGAGAGACGGGTATTTGAAGACATCATCCGCTTATTTATTCAGTTCTCTACATATTCCGGTGTTGTAGGCCGATTAACGGGTGGTTACATGTGGGGGAACTGGAGCACCCGGTGAAAATCAACTCGTGCAAGGGGGCAATGCTCTATCCCACACAGATGGAACAGATGGAGTCCGCGTGTTGCTGTGCCACCTTCTCTCGACGAGACAGAGCATGGCACCTCATTGGCAACGGGAAGGGAGTTTCACCACATTTGCACGATCCACCGGCCCTCGCCTTCACTGTTGCTGGGTTACAGGTCACGTGCATAGCCACCACCACCGCCCGGCTAAGCCAATGCCATAGAACGTTCTGAATAGATCAGGAGCTGCCGCAGACATACATGTTACAAACAGAAAAAAAGATGAGGTAGTTTCGGTAAAGTCACGTAGGTATAAAAAAAAATAAATCACGACGTTTCGGGCGCAACACAAGCGTACGTCGTGATTTGATTTATTTTATACCTACGTGACTTTACCGAAAGAACCAAAGAGTACGAACCCTTGCAGTCGCGAAAACTACAAATCTAGAATGAGGTAGTTTATCCGTTTCTTGAAGGAAAATCCTGTTAAACCTCAGCCAAATGGCTCAAACAGAACGTGTAATGGCTGATAGATTGTCTATATTGTCCATGAGGTGAATAAACATACTTATCTACCCCTTATTTTTATTGTTGGCTCTGCGTTTGATATAGATAGGTGTGGCCAGCATGATTGAATTAGTATCAATATTTTATCCAATCTTAACCATATTTTTCACGTTTAATTCTTATGTGTGCTCAGTCACGGTGGCTATAGCCTCTTCGATGTGATTTGATGATTTCCTCCAAATTTATCAGATTCAACAGTGTGATGATGTAACACCCATGAAAACATTTTCTGACCGTAAAGAAGATGCTATATGTACATTATTGTTATTATTGTGAAGAATCACGATGCGTGGGCGTGGTGCTGCACGCCTGCGACCCACCACTCTCGAGGCAAGGGTTGGTGGATCACGTAAATCTCTGAAACTCATTTGCGCTGCTGGCAAGCCAGGCGGTAGTGCAGCAAAGTAGCTTTCTGTTTACATCTGTGCGTGCTCCTTCTGAGTCTGGTTCCCTTGTGTGGGCCACACTTCCTCCGGGTCCTTTGGATCCCTCCCATACGCTAAAACGCGGGTGGAAAAAAAAATGTAACTGGCCAACACATCACCGATGCAGGATCCTCCTGCAAAGAACCCCCGAGTCTTTGCGATTATTTCTTAGCTGTGCACAAAGGACAAATAAGCCATTCGATCGTTCCGGCCATGTTTTGTTTTAAAGGGGTCTATTGCCACGAATGTTAGCTTACTATATACGTAATAAGTCGGTATTCATGCTAAAGGCTACGGATTTTTTTTTTACGTGCTCATATATCACTTCTATAAACATTACATTTTTTTGGCCTCGTGTTGGTTTTATTTTCCCTTTTTTTCGGAGCCACAGCACAGTGCAATAACCACGACCAACTACGTCATGAAGTGAAGTATCCATTTACAATTCTTGCAGAGTAATATTGCATCGGCCAATGTTAGAGAACAGCCCGCAGAAGGCGATATTACAGAACCACTTCTAAAAATCCCTACGTCGTGACCTCTTTTATTGTATTCTGTTTCATACTCCTGAGAAGTATGTGTGTGTGTGTGTCAAGTGGCAGGCAGGGTAAATCAATATCTTGAATTCTCAGAACTGGTTGTCTTTGCAAATTGAATGAAAACCAAATTTGACAATGGGGCTTTGTACTCCGATTGTAAATGTTGTGGCTTGGCTCTCCAAACACACAAGCGGTGTTGCTGTATTAGTGACGAATTGGCCACGTTCTGTTTACGTGACAACCCTTACTAGTTGGCTGTGTCGGGTGGTGGTGGGTTTTAACGACACATTTATATATTTACGCGATCTAACCCAAAAACCTCTATTATGGGGCTTCCCCCCCACCCCCGTAGTCATTAGGGGCCGTGCATAAATGACGTCACGCGGTTTTGGACGATTTTTGAACCCCCCCCCCCTCGTCACACGGCGTTACAAAAAGTCAGACCCCCCATCAAATATGACGTCATAAAGCTCTACCCCCCCCCCTTCCCCTAAATTCATAAAACATGCTTCAAATCGCTTTAAACTATTGTCATTGTAGTGCGTATTTAATGTGGCGCTGCACTCTGATGTTGTAGAAGAAAATATTTATTTAAAAGTCTATTTAATTAAGTAGAACGTGTTGTCTATATTTATTTAAAGTTGCGCATTTTGATGTGACGTCACATTTCTCAACCCCCCTCGTCACACATCGTCACAAATGTCTGCCCCCCCCCCCAGGTGCGTGACGTCATTTATGGACGGCCCCTTATTTGACTGGGCTGATGCCATCAACGCGCTGCATCTGCTAGTCTGGTCTAATCAAAGACAACCGAAACCCAGTTTTGGTTCCACGAACCCAGCAATGCCCGCCTGACGCTCAGCTATCACCGTTGTGTAGCCGAATTCTAAACTACTCAACTAAAACATTTTTTTTTATTTTACCTGGTAAGACCCACTGAGCTATACAGCTCTTTTTCATAAGGGGCCTGGCCACAAAATGACAGCTCAACGAAGTGTCTTATCACGTGGACATTCATAGCAGCCGAATCCTCTAAACCGTGTGCGACGAGTGTAACTGCATTTGTCTCTGCTACACCTTCGTTCTATAAAAAAAAAATGCGGAGCGTCGTTTGCCCGTCGTCACGTTTCATTGCCTTATTATTGGCAAGAATCCTGTGCCCTCGGTGCCTTGATTTGGCCCCGTGATTGGCTGGAGTGCCGAAGGAGTTCTCGCCAGAGAGCACCACACCAGCAGTCCCACGATGAGACAGATCACGAGCAAGCACGTGATGACGATTGTCACGCAGCAGCACCTGGTCGTCCATAACTGCGGTTAAAGGAAGTGAGGAAATAAAGCATTTAGCCGTGGTCTCCAACCGAGAGGAGAGCCAACACTGCATCATTAGCACATTCGGCACATCCGCGTCCACTCTTACAAAGCGTCGAGGTTATCACGAAGGTCGCCGCTACTTTCTCAGACGTAATTTGGACGCAACATGGCCAGACTTCCTTTCTCTCTTTCTTAAACGACGTCGAGGGATATTTAACGGCCGCTGCGAAGCGGGCGGTGCGTCGTATTATCACCATCTAGAGTTAACGCACAGCCTCCGGCATTAGCCGGGGGGCGGGGGGGTTTGGGGGCGGACCCCAGGGGCTCGAACCGCGAACCGTTGCGGCTAGCGGGCGAGCATGCTGACGCCGCTTGGCCGTGTCAAACGCCACCGGCGGTGGAACCCGTTGCGCCCCAATGTCGGTGGTGGCGTCGCACAATTATCATCGGCGGGCGGTAAAGGCGCGGCCCTGCAATTTCTGGCATTTGGCCAACTCGCCTCGGAAGGGGCCTGAGAGCGAACCCACGATTTGCCTCACCACGCGTGATCTGCCGATTGGCTATCGGTTTGCGAACCCATCTATTATACCGCTGGGCGGACAGAGGCGGTTCAAGGGGGGGGGTTATTTGAGAAGCTTGTCACTCATGCACGTTGAACTTGCGGCAGCGTCCCCAACACGGCATCGCGGGGATCTCAACCACGTCGTCCAAGGCTGTGGGGCTCCGATGGTGGATGGGGGGGAGGGCGGTGCGGAGTACCGAACCCCATGGCCGTGCGGAGTGCGACTGACCGGTGGAGACCTGGAGCCGAGCAGCGGAGCGTCGTTTGCGTTCCCTTCGTTCGCATTTTCATAGTCCTGCAAGATTGTGCCCGTTAACAAGCGAAGTGGCGCGCGACTTTTCTTTTAAGCACGCACGCTATATCGCACGTTTACTCGGAACACAAACACACGCACATACAACAACAACAACACCAAACCGCCAATCGCCACTAAGTGGCGGTGATGTCACCACGGCGCTTGTGCCAGGCTAGGTGCACTTTAAGGCCACGTTAAGTGTCGAACGCCCGCTGGCAGGAGGTCATGGGACGGACCCAGCTGCCATGGGTTTGACCGACTGAGGTGACTTGCCGATGTACATACACACACACACACAAGATGTTGGCGCTAGAAATATATATATATCGCACACATGCACGGACATATGGAATCAGATGACGACTAACGCAACACGCCAACACACAACATATAGTATATGCATTGGCGTTACAAATGTTAACGCACATGTACACATTATTTATTGACATTGCTAAGATAGCACGTGAGTACAATCGGGCCGGCTTCACACAGAACCAGAATAAGAATATTTATTTAGACTATGAAGCTCTTTTTCAGAGATGTCCAGGTGGGGTGTGTCAGAACGTCACAACAGCAACCAAGTAAAGCCCACTGAGCTATTAGCTTCTTTTTCAGAAGCGACCTGGCCACAAATGATAGCTCAACACAGTGGCTTATTATGTGCACATTTCTAGCAGATAAAAAATCTAAATAAATGTGGAGGTAAAAACCGGAGGGTCCGGAGAAAAAAAATCCACGTAACCACGAGGAGAACACGCAAACTAAAAATATACAGCAGCAGCAGGCGTCAGGGTTGGGATCTAACCCCCGACCTCCTGCATACCAGGCGAGGTAGTTAACATCTCTTAGCCACCGTGGTGCCCTCTACCTCTGTCATTCCTTCAATTGACCTCTTGTCCACACACAGCAGAGGGCAGCACTTCTCATTCACTCTGTACGTGACAGCGAGGTTCGTCACATGACGGTCAAACATACATGAGTCATTCTATATCGGTGTTGGAATTTAGTCAATTGAATTGTAGAACCAAATGCAATTTTTTTTGCACAGTCATTGAATCATCAACTCGCTACACTTGAGGACCCAGTTTCACGGAAATGCAGGCCCTCAGCAGTGCCAGCTCAACGCTCGATCCTCTGACCTCTGACCCAGCCGGCCGGCCACCTTCAATTTTGGCTTTACAAGTAAGCAATGAATTTGTTTAAAAGCTTGCATGGGGAGGTTTTTTTTGTTACAAAACGGCAATGTGATTTGCTTGTATTGTGGACGAGCCCTGGGTGTGTGCGTGTTTGCGGCAGACGTACGTAATTTCTGGGGAGGGGGCGAGGTTGGTTGATCTCTCTCCATTGTGATCGACTCTGGGCGGAATCTGATTTACACAAAAAACAAAATCCCATCCATGTCTTTAGAACTCAAGTTTTGTGTTGAGTTTGTTGTGCCGCCCCACCACCCACCCCGCATTTCCGATTAGCACGGTTGGATAAGTATGGTGTGAAAGAAGTTCAACATACATACATACAATACTTTAGACGCGGTTTGCAGAGTACAGTATTCCCCCTCAATTCACGTACATTATCTTTAAGGATTAATTTCAATAGTATATATTTGATTTCAAGATGCTTTTTTCAAAACTTGTGTCGTCAGTTAATTATCCATATTTGCACTTTCTAGAATTCCAAATCACACATAATACTGGGTTCAGTAATATTTAGATATAGAGATGGCTTTGGGATGCCTGCATCCAGCAATGGATTGACCAAGGCTGATGATGATTCATCAATACGATTACGAATGTGTTGTTTTTGTCTATCGGCCAATGTTTGAAAAATTTGATTTTTTTTAACTTTTATCTTAAGAAGACACTTTGCAGTAGATCTCCCACAAATCACCTCCCCTCAAAATGTCACGATTCGGGTTCACGAAGGCTCTAAAATTCGCTGCAGATTATGATGCACTGGAGGGTCCCCTAGTGGCTGCAGGGGGTCACGAAAAACGAATTACATACAAGGTATACAAATAGAAAACAATGGATTCTCTCGCGCAAAATACTCTCCGCGTATTGAGAGCGTAATAATTTACTTCAATCGATGAAATTATGACATTGCAACACCGCTGCTTGGCATTCATATGATCCTTGATGTATGGCGAGTGGGTGTTGTGCAGGGAAATAAACTCCTCCCTGTGCGTAGCATCGCGTGTTTTTAAGAAGTGCTCACGATCTCTCTTTTGAGTCCGTTGCGTCTTGCCGTGACTCACCGATGGCGCGGTTCATTTCTTTGAATGCTTCATTCAGTCTGGTTTGGATTTCATTGGCATCGATCATGACTTCCTGCAGGTACAGCAAGTACGGTTGAATCTCCAGTAATCCAACCACAATCCGCACAAACCATGGCAGATGCAGATACCTAATGCACGAAGGTAAAATAAAGACTCCGACGTTTTGCGGTGACTGTGGTCACCTGGAAGAGAACCATGGGACGTTTAAAGACTCGGCGCACGATTCACGAACGCGAGGGAGGCATCATCGCGGCGATACCCTCCGCCGCTACTCCTAGCACAATTATCCGGCTCGGCCACCTCAATGTAAAACTATTCTTGTTGCGCGAAATCATCGTCAGCCATACGTCGGTAGAAGCCAGTACCACAAGTACAAAGGGTGCAGATGTATCAGCATTTGGCTAATTTAGTTAACACACCGTCTGTGCCAAAGTGTACGTCAAAGATCCAGTGGTGTTATTCAAAGAGACGAGGCAATATGTGCCAGTGCCAATTTTTGTTTTAGTACCGCTAATTATTTGATAAGATTCCACAGCACAGGTACAATCTGCTATTAGGCCAGGGGTCCCCAACCTCCGGGCCACGGACCGGTACCGGCCTGTGGCCTGTTAGGAACCGGGCCGCACAGCAGCAGGAGGTGAGAGCGGTGAGTCCGCACGTGGCCCACTCCCATTATTTTATTATTTACCACTTCCGTCCGCACCTCTTTCCCGCACTGCGCACTTGTCTCAGTCACGTGGTGTTTGGTAAGCCCACAAGCTCTAACCTCTAGTAGCCACAATGAGTAAAAACACAAACGTTGCTGGAGAGCTTCTTTCAAAAGGGGGAAAAGACCCAATGATGAACCCCCCTCCCCCGGTCCGTGAAAAAAATTGTCTTCCACGAAACCGGTCCCTGGTGCCAAAAAAGGTTGGCGGACCGCTGCATTAGGGGATGCCCTGGGCCAAAACACCTGCGCTCTGAGACATTTCGTTACCCTATGGGCACAATATGAATGCAAGTGACATAATAGTCATCTCATTGTTGTGTATGCTTACTCGTTATTTTTGCCATGATCAAATATATAGGTGGCAGGCGGCTGCATGTGAACGCCAATAAAGTTTAAACAAGGAAAGGTCGCACTCATTACACACAGAGTGCTTGCCACAAATGAACCAAAATACCTCACTGATCTCCCTTAGGAGTATGAACTATCACGTGACCTCCGGTCATCCTCGCTTGTGGTTTTTGGCAAGCCACGGAAAAATAACCGGCGATCACCGCATCGCACGCTTTCAGATGCGCTTCTGTGGCCGTCTGGAACGCTCTTCCTTCCGATATTAGGAAGCTACTGGAGCTATGCGCTTTAAATCTATATGGAAAACTAATTTCTTTTAAACTGCTTTTTGTGTTGATTTTTTTGTACTTCCCCCCTTCCTCCGATTAGCACGGTTGGTTACGTATGGTGCGAAAGAGGTCCAATATACGTACAATGTACACACACAAATGCATGCTCTAAGTATAGAGTCTGGTATGTGCTCTTTATCTAAAGGGAGACTCGCTGAGCCTCAAGGCTCTTTGTTTAGGAGGATCGCGCATCGTAAGGTACATCAGATGAAATCCGAGTCAAATTGATAATTTTACACCTTTTCTTCAATCCACATCTGGATGAGGGCCTCCCAATGCCGTTTTAGTCATGGGAGCATCCAGAGAAATCTCACGAATACCAAAAGATAACAGAGCTCTGGACATATGTACGGTAATCAAAATAACCATTGCTATGCTGCCATCTGTTGGCTACCTCCTAGATTAAGCCTGCAACACACCTAACATTCCCAGGCAGTCCCCAATTTGTATACTATCCAGGATCAATTTCGTTTAGCTACTGAGATCTGGAAATTGTGGGCGCATTCAGGGGGTTGCATTCGTTACGACTCCGAGTTTGTATGCTTTCCCTGTGGTCACGTGTTGTTTTTTTACATCTGGGTCCTCCGTTTTTTCCCACCACGTTTAGAAACACGCGTTTAGAGTATTTGGCTGCTGTATATAAGCCCACTTCGTTGGGCTATCATTTGTGGCCAGGCCGCTTCAGAAAAAAAGCTACGTAGCTCAGTGGGCCTCACCTGGATTTTTTTTTTAAATAGTTAATGTACATAACTCACCGTCTGTTGCTGAATGGCTTCATTTGCCATATTTTTTCTCTTTCTCAATTCCTGCTCCTCTCTTGTAACGTGTGGTCTCACGCAATGGGCATCGGTCTCATCTCCAACCTCTTGATCCTAGAATGCAAGGACACATTCGTGCGCTTCATGCCTGAGAGCGCGTGCGCATCATGGCACGGCGACAAGGCTGACGGAGGTTCGACGTTCGTGTTCAACGGCTGCCCTGGTTAATACCGCGGGGGTCGGTTCCACGTAACAATAGATGCCGCCTACTTCACGGTGCATCGTGAAGATCCTGCGATGTTATTTAATTTAAAAAAAGTAAGGCCACGTGTGCCGGGCTTAACGGTCTAAACTTTCTAAAGTTTAAAATTACTTACAAATGACCTGTTTGGGTAAAGCCACATAGCAACATTGGGGCGCCAATGGTGGCGAGATGTTAACTACCTCGCCTGGTATACAGGAGGTCGTGGGTTCGATCCCGACCCTGACGCCTGCTGTATATTTGGAGTTGGCATGTTTCTCTCCCCCTGGTCGCATGCATCTTATTTCGCTGCTATACTTTTCCAGATGATAAGCCACTTCGTTGAGCTATAATTTGTGGCCAGGTCGCTTCTGAGAAAGAGCTACGTAGCTCAGTGGGTCTTACCCGGTAAAATACAAAAAAAGCATTTTGCAAGAGTTTTATAGTTTACATTGCTCCCCTACTGTTCAACTACTGCAGACTATACTCGTCTGTGAAACATAGCGCCCCTGTGACAGGTACCTCGCGCATATTTGCGTGGCACGAATTGCCAAAGGCACTTCTCAGTGGTGGATCATCCTCGTAGCAAAAGTATCTACACATGCTATGAGCCTGCACTTGCTCTATTACTATAGTACTATACCGCCTTCAACTTTTATGAACGACCGGGTGTTTTAGATTAGCGATTTGTCGTATCATCTGGCTGTATAGCAAATGAAAAAATACAATTACTTTACTGTGCAAGTAAAACAATTGTCTTGTAATATTTACGTGTTTTTTTTTTATTTAGGGCCCCTTTATAACATGTTTTACAGGCCCCGCACTAGCTTAATCCGGCACTGCTAATGGTTTGAATTCATCGCTGCCTTCGAGCCGTGTTTGACGTACGAAAAATGCTGATGCGAAGTGCGCTTCCAAGCTCTAGAAGTGAAAAATAAAAAATGTAAGCGCAACTCCGAGAGATATAAATCCAATGTGAGAAAACTCACCGCGAAGTCGACCAAGGCGCCGAAGATCTTGTCGAGTTTCTGATACAATTTCTGCAAAAAACAAAAAAATGCATTTGTGCTTCATTAAAGGCCCCGTCAAGTGTCGTTAGTATCCTTCATTTATGCAGAGGAATTGTTTTTTTTCCCTTCTTCAACATTTCATACCGATTCTGCCGACGCCATCCTGTCACTGAAGCTCACAGCGGGCCCGCATCACCCCATGTTGTACAACAGCACAGCAGTTACTCGCAGTATATATGTGTGTGTATGCACACATTATCTTACGTAGTTAAAACAACTCGAGTAAAAAAAAAAAAATACCTGCTGTGATTTTTGGGCTTTTACCAAATCAGATATGGGAAAGCCAAGCAGATTTTTGAGCCCGGAAAGCGGGTTGGATGTGCGACTGCCGAAGCATAGCCGTTGTTATATTGCTGTGTGGTCATGCAGCAGGCAGCATAGGGCACAGCGAAATAATAACAATTATTGTGCCGTACCTCTAGGATCTCACATCTATGCTCCCGGCCTTCATCTCGACATGCACAGACCAGAAGTCGTGGCCAAAGAAGCTCCATGATCCACACAGGAGGCCCTTCCGTGTGGAGGCCTCACATCGTCCAGCGATGTGAGACGTCAAAAAGAGCCGCAAATGCTAGCGGGTTGTTGCGTTTGAACGATTGAAGGTACATTTTATTTTATTTCACCAGTTAATTCCCACCTGGGCTGTACAGCGTCTTTTTTTTAAGAATCGCGACCTGGCCATCACGAACGAGAGGCGAATACTCTCAACGCGTAGTGAGCTCCGGTTAATTTTTTTGCGTAAACGCCCAGATGCTTGCCGTTCTTTTTTTTGAGTGTCTCCGAATGAACTTTGCAAGTCATTTCGATAAGCCCCAACCTTACACGCTCGTGTGCTTTTCACCGGCTCCAACGATCGTGTCTTTCCGGTTGTGGCTGTAGTGAAGTAGTGAGAGAAAAGCTTCCTTGCTACATTCCGCATTTAGTTCACAGAGGCATCACCGTGTAGCCTTTGACCTATGAAGGCCGACACGGCACACAGGGTGGTTGGTCAACACCATTCCCGGCCGCTTTTGCCTCCCCCAGTGCCGATGTTTAAATACCGCACCAAGTGCTCATTTAAAGCCGAGATGACCTGGGGGAGGCCCAAGGCTGGTTCAGATGTTTTCAGATATTGTCACGCACTGTGCTACGAATCTGATAACCAGGTTCGGAGCACACTTCGCGAACCACTGCACCACCACTCCCCCAGCACTATCATGCATATAGCAAGGGTGTGCAGTTCTGGGTGTTTATATATAAGAATACAATCGTGTCGCTTTGATCGTATGAAAAATCTGATTATGAAGCAAGGTAATCCAATCCTAAATTCCAAAAAAATGGTCAGAATCGATCAATAAATGTGACCCGCGACAGTTCGAATCAGATTAGAATTCATGAAAAAAACCATTGAAATATTATTTTGGGCATTCACATTTTTGATTGCAATAAGACACTACAGTAAAACACTCGTGATAATAATCGGCTAATAGCCGACAAATAGCTGCAGACAATTTTAGTTTTTACTAATATCACCAATTGATCCATTAAGACAATTCTAAGTTCATCGACGGACACAAGTTGACCTGTAATGTTCTGCATAGCTGAGACTATTTCAACCCCAGTGCAGGCGCTGTGTTTTAATGCAGCTCTCGTGTTGCTCGCTCGGCAATGGAACCGGATCGATTCATTATCTGGAATTGACTCGAATAGAGACAAATGCAGGCATGGATTCGAGCATCCGAGGATCGCAGGAAGGCTAACGGAAGGGAGAACAAAACAATCCAGGTTCTCGCCATATGCTGAGATTTGTTTTAATTGTACATAGTATTGGAAGTATTCACGCAAATGCTACTGAATGTCCGAGGTGGAACCGCATTGCTGATTTCTGGCATTTTCGGTCTGCGTGCGCAGAGTCTGGTAAAAAAAAATACTATAAGCAAGAATGATTTAGATGGCAAGGCTGTGCAAGGAATGGGCGATGAATGGATGACCACGATATGTATGTAAATATGTTGAACTTCTTTGACACCGTACGTAGCCAAACGCGCTAATCGGAGGTGCGGCAGAAAGGACAACAAACTAAGCACAAAAAGCAGTCCTAAAGAAGAAATGAGTTTTCAATTTAGTATAAATTTGCAGTGTATAGTAGTGTGGTGTAGAGTGTAGTGTATTGTAGTATAATGTAGTATAAAGTTGAGTGTATAGGAGTGTATAGTGTATTATATAGCAGTGTGGTGCATAGTAGTGTATTATATAGTAGTGTATAGTGTAGTATGTATGTTGAACTTCTTTGGCACCGTACGTAGCCAACCGAAGGTGCGGGGTGGGGGGGAAGGACAACAAACTAAGCACAAAAAGAAGTCCGAAAGAAACGAGTTTTCCATCTCGACAAACAGGGCACAAAATCGTTGGGCTGCGGCAGCGACACCCTGCCGTTGGCAACAGCTGTGGAGGAGGTCCTCACCGTTCTCGGACACCTCGTGAGGCCGTGCTGTGTGGCGTGGAGAGATGCGGGAGGAAGGAAAGTGCGTGGCGGAGTGCTGCGTGTGTGTTCTCTCCCAGAACACGGGGAGCGGTGGTGCAGCGGTTAGCGTGCTGCGCTACGACCCGCGCTCGATTACCGCTCACGGCCACCAACGCCGCAGTGACGATTATCTGAACCGGTCCTGGGCCTCCCCTAGGTCGACTCAGCCTCAAAATGAGTACTTGGTGCGGTGTGTAAAACATCGCCACTGGGGAGGCAAAGGCGGCCGGGCGTGGCGCTCGCCACCCACCCCCCTAGTGTTCTGTGTCAGCCTTCATGAGTGCTGCTCGCAAGCAGCACTCGCCCCAACAGTCTGTTAGAGGCTATGAGGGGGGATTTTTGTGGTTTTTGTTGCGTCTCCCAGATCAGTCACCTGCTGCGTCTGCTCGTAGCCCTGCACCATTTCGAGAAACTCATCCCTCATGCGATTCAGCCGCATCAGCTGATCCTGGGAACGGCAAAGGAGTAAAAACAAAGGCGGCAAGCAGTGAAGGATTATTTCCTGAACGGTAAGGCAGCAGCAGTGGCAATTTGTTACTTGGCCCAGGAAGGAGTGTGAAGATCTCGATAACGAGGTCACCACTCGAGAAACATATTTCGTCGAAGTATTTTTGAAGCATTTTCTTTTGCAGTGCCCAGAGAATGGCCATGCATACCAAAGATCGCAAGACAATGCGCCACAACACTCACCAAAACACCGACAGTGTCTGGTGTCTCCTTGAGAACGCTCACGAGAACCGTGTCTGACATGAACACGATGGCTCAAGTTATGCCGGGAAGCCATTTGGAGTCTCATGATTTTCCTGCTTGGGATTTTGGCCAATTCCTCAATGAATGCATGCATGCACATGTTCAGTCCTCTTACCAATCTACTGCTGGATGAGCCCCCCCCCACCCCACCACCCCATGATGTGCAGGCATTGTTTCTTTTATACCGATTTTCTTTCGCTCCAACCACCCTCATCGGAGGTGCGTTTCGAATGACAACGAACTGAAGCACAGCAGGCAGTTCTAAACGCGTGAGTTTTCCACCTCGACAAACGACGAAAGCTGCGACGAGAGTTTCTTCCCGTCTCTTTGGGCTTCACCTGATGGCCGCAATAGTGGAAATACCCGTTTGGTGCGCGGGCTTCTTAAAGCTTGTCAACCAGCTGTGTCCCGGCATGCAAACCCCTCCCCCCCCCCTCCCACCCCCTTCCACGCTGCGTCACAGCGTAAGAAGCACGCACGCGGGACGGGTTTAACGCTCAGCTCGCCGTCGAAGGTAGAGACGCAGCCTCGCAAAATGCCTCGCGCACGCCGCTGCCGACGGAAAGGTGGCCTCTGCTGCAGGAGCGCTCCAGACAGTTCCCCCCCCCCTCCCCCCACCACCCATCTCGAGGGTATTCGGCCTGCTCTTCCACATCGGTCAGTGGTGTTTGGGTCGAGGCGAGAGCACCTACCCCGCTCTGTAACCACGCCACGCCACGCCGTGCGACTGACCGTGGCGTTGCCAATTTACTCGCCCCCCGGGGTTAGCAGAAGTGGTGGTGGTGGGATTCTAAAAGATAAAAAAAAAATGTGAACAATGCCGAAACTGTCTCGCTCCGGAGATTGAACGCCAGTCGGGCGCAGTGAACTCGGGCACCTGACGGCTTGCCCTGTGGTTCTCGTGTTAAGGGTGACACTTTTGAACAAGTTACAGTGCGACAAGTGTTTAGTAATTTAATCAACAACAACAAAAGCATCGCTTTGACTGGCTCTGCATACCTCTGTTGTTGCTTTCGAATTCGTTGTTATATTTTTTTCCACGTTGCGTTATTTCTGTGCTGTTTCTCATGAAGGTACCGTATACTGATTCTGTTCATCTCGAGCCCTGCACCAACATCGGCAACCGTAAGTCCCAGCATTCTCTCCAGCGGACACATTGTCCTCGCCTGGCATGCAGGAGGTCGTGGGTTTGATCCCGACCCTGACCCCTCTATGTTTGGAGTTTCCACGTTCTTCCCGTGGCCGCGGTTTGCGGGGGAACGGTAGTGTAGCAGGTTAGCGCACTGCGCTACGAACCCGGAGACCCGTGTTCGATTTAACCAACACGGGCGAATATTTTTGTAACGGGTCCTGGGCTTCCCCTAGGTCGACTCAGCCTTAAATCAGAACTTGGTGCTGTGTGTAAACATCATTACTGGGGAGACAAAGGTGGCCGGACGTGATGATGAACACCCCAACCCTGGCGTGTGCTGCGTCGGCCTCAAGGGGTGCTCGCTAACAGCACCTGCTGTTGGGGGGGCTTCACGTCGGGAATCGTCGTCTTTGTGTGCATACGAACCTCACTGTATTGGCTGCCCAGATCCGTGAGCGCGCAGAGGAACGATAGCGCATTCAAGACCAGGGCCTTGATCTGTCTCTGGATGCCGATGCTGTGTGTGGGAGACGCGCGTTAAGACACTCAAACCTGTCCAACAGGCCCCCCCCCCCCGCCTCGTACCTTATCTGCCTTGGAAGATGTAGCAGAACTACTCCGTTGCCACTTATGCACACTAAATGGCACAGGTTTAGACGTGGCCTGGAAGTCGTCTTCATTACATGGTAGTTAAATTATAAATGTGTAATCCTCAGAGCTGTAGTGTACTCAAATTAAGTGAAAACCCAACGTTTATTTGATGTTTATATTTGTTATGGTGCAGTCATAAGTGACTGAGCAAAGATCATGAACTCCCAACACTTGAGAATCCAGTTTAATCACGGGAGGCTGAAACCAGGATTCGAACCAGCTCCTCAGCGTTGCCAGCTAATGAGATGAGACATCTCATTACAGGACATTAAAAAAAATTGCATAGCTCCTGTCCAATCCTTGAATCCTCTGAACCCACGAATTAGTTTCTGCCAAATTCCGGTATTGTCCTGATGAGCAAAGTCGCCGAGAAGGGGAGGCAAAGGCAACCGACTATCCGCACTTTGCCATGCGAGTAAAAGTCGCGTATCGTTTGAGATGAACGCGGATAATATAGAACGCGCCCCTTGCTCTCCACATTCAACTGGATGTGATGTTTCACCGCGGTTTCACGAGCGGGGTGCCATTAATGGGCCGAGAGCAGGACTCCTTGGCGCTTGCTGTGATTAATGAACGCCGCGTGAATTTGAAAGTGATAATGGAAAAAACACTAATCACATATTGATTCGCAGAGGCCGCTCGTTCAAGTCCAAACTCCGATTGCCCAGGTGCCGATCGAACTCCGCGACTGTGAGCGGGTGGGGTTGTAAGAGAAAAAGACAGCACACGCAGTGGGAGCTGGGATCACCGGTTGGGCAAGACAGCACAGGGCACAATTTGTATTTGATAAAGAGGCAGTTTCACGCACTGTTAAAATGGCTAAAAACACGCCCATCGCCTCTGTAGTTTGCCTCGCTGTTGGCGCCTGTTACGTCCTGAAAAGACTCGAGACTAAGTGAGGCTCTCCTGGTCACATCAAACCAAACTAAAGCTAAACTATTGTTTTTATTTTACCAGGTAAGGGTCGCTGAGCTGTATAGCTCTTTTTTTAAGTAGCGACCTGGCCACAAATGACACCTCAACGAAGTGGCTTATCACGTGGAAATGTATAGCAGCCAAATACTCTAAACACACATTTCTAAATGTGGAAGGAAAAACCGGAGTACCTGTAGAAAAATCCACGCGACTAACGTCTCACCACCGTGGCAATGAAGAGTGGAATCCGTGCTTTTTGGTTCTTTCAGTAAAGTCACGTAGGTAGAAAAATAATAGATCACGACGTTTCGGTCGCAACACGAGCAATCGTCATCAGGTGGGACAACCACAGCAAGAAAACAAACTGCTGAAGTAGGCTGAAAGAACCAAAGAGTATGGATTCGTGCAGTCACGAAAGCTTCAAATAAAGAGTGGAAGCGTGCAATAACAACTTCATAGCCTTGTACTTACCCTTTGCGGACATCTCTTTGAGGCAGTTGCTGGTGTTATGCGAGAGGTTGCTGTATTTGGTCTGATTCGCGTCCGACATCGCTGCAAGTCACAGGGAGTCCATTTACAGGGCGGTTTATTTCCCGAGTAAAGACAATTTATTTTTTGCGATGCCGCTCTTTGTTTTATTTCAAGGGCGATTCAGCCAGCAGGCGACAGCAGCAGCAGGAGGAAAGTGCAGCTACATACGACAAGTTATTCACATGCTCTAAAACAAAAAAGTTAATTCGAACGGTGTTATCTTGGAACAGAAACACGCAAAAAAAATGGGAACGGGCCTTTTCTGGCTACAAAGTGGAAAAATAACAGCAATCCTGTTTTTTTTCTTCATATTTACGTAATCTGTTCCGTTATTCATTACAGTATTAATGTTTTCAAAGGGGGTGAGGAAGTGACGGCATCGTGCTAAGCGCACTGCTCCATGAATTCGGTGACCTGAGTTTGATTCCTGGCCTCATATGCCAAGTGTGGGACTCGTATTGTTCCATCTCAATAATAATAATCATCATCATCAGACACACGCACACATCCTTCCACTAAAACGCACCGGACCTGGTCGTGTGTAGACAGCCTCCTTATCAGCCTTCATAGGGAGGATACATTTTTGTAAAAATAGATATTATAGTAAAAAAACGCACATTGCTTAAGAACAGAGGTCACACACAGCCACCAACAGGGGTTCTCAAGTGAAGGTAGCCTCCTCACGGCGTATCGGGTTGTGAGAGGAGGGGTCGATCGATTGACCATACTTCACCATGCTGGTCGGTCAGTGTGGGTTGTTGAAGGTGGTTGGGGAAGGAGGGGGAGGCACGGGGATCGGTTCGGATCTCGCTTGCCACTGATGCTAGCCGTGGCCCTGCTAAGAGAGTGGTTGATTCAGAGTATTTTATTTAGTCTAGATTTGAAGTTTTCGTGACTTCAGGAATCCATACTCTTTGGTTCTTTCGGTAAAGTCACGTAGGTAGAAACATAAAATAAATCACGACGTTTCGATTGCAACACCAGCAATCATCATCAGGTGGTAAAACCACAATTCCCTCCGTTCAGCTTCACGTCCCTCTCCTAGCGTCCACGCAGCGCCCCCCCCCCCCCTTGCCCCTCCCCCCTTTCTGACCTCTATAACCTCTTACCACGGCAACTCTCTCTCCCCCCTTGCCCCTTTCTGACCTCTATAACCTCTTACTCTCTCTCCCACTTCAGCAAAACAATTATGTGGTTTTCCCACCTGATTATGATTGCTTGTGTTGCAATCGAAACGTCGTGATCTATTTTATTTTATACCTACGTGACTTTACCGAAAGAACCAAAGAGTATTTTACGTAGTGTTTTAGAGTATTTTTCAAGTGATAAGACCACTTCGTTGAGCTATCATTTGTGGGCAGTTCGCTTCTGAAAAAGCGCTACATGGCTCAATGGACCTTACCTGGTAAAATAAAAACTGCAATTAGACGAGAAAGTATTTATTTTAGGGTTTAGAGTTTTTGGCTGCTACTAATTCCCACGTTTTAGTTTAGTGACTGATATCTAAAGCGGCCCTGGCCACCCTCCATCACCCACCTGTCCTCACTAGTGTGATACACAGCTGTGTGGCGACTGTGAACTACCATAACTGCCGTGGCATGAGGAGGGGGACATTCATCCCGTCGTGGATTGACAACAAGTTTAAGGAGAATTGCTTATATTTAAGACGTACATATCGTAAAAAAATAAAATCTGGTCTCAATGCAGACCATTCAGTTACTGCAATGGGTCTAATTCCAGCGACTTCGAATAATTACGGCACAGAGGTATATCTGTAAAAAAAAGGATATTGGAAGTTAAATGTTATTTTCTCATGTAAACATTGGACAAATTATTGCAGACATTCCAATCTTTAAAACAATTATTTTCTCTACCAATCGCCTTATTAAGTTCAGATGACCAATCATAAATCAGGATATTAAAAGTACAGAACAATACCGTACAATAACTATGAAACTAGAAACTTTTTTACAAATTTTACCAGATAAGGTCTACTGAGCCACAATATCTCTTATTCATATTCTTAGCTCTTTCGGTAAAGTCGAAACGTCGTGAGAATGTTTTTATTGTTTTATATATATTTTATTATTTTATTGTTTCCCTTCAACGTGACTTTACCGAAAGAGCTAAGAATATGAATTACTGCAGTCACGAAAGCTTTAAATCAAAACACAATATCTCTTTTTCAGAAGTGGCCTGGCAACAAATGATAGCTCAACGAAGTGGGCTTATCACGTGAAAATGTTTAGCAACCAAATACTCTAAACATGTTTCTAAATGCGGAGGGAAAACCGGAGGACCCAGAGAAAAATCCACGCGACCACGGGGAGAACACGCAAACTCCAAATATACAGCAGCAGGCGTCAGGGTCGGGATCGAACCCACGACCTCCTGCATACCAGGCGAGGTAGTTAACATCTCGCCACCGCAGCGCCCCATAACCATGCGCCGTATCACGTGATGTTTTTTTTCTCTCGTCTTCTTCCTCCTCCTCCTCCTCAAAAGGTGGAATTGAAATTAACGAAAGAATGCTCTTAAAATGTCATTGCGTGCAAGGGAGAATCACTGCGGTGGGACATTTCCCTGTTCGCAAGGGTGCAAACAACACATTCTGAAACTCGTCAGCACCCAGGCCCATTCGGATCACTTGGCGGTGTTCGAGCCGATACGACAAGCTCATCGTGCGTCACCAGAGGACACACTTCGCAAAGCATCTTTTCAATTTCACCTTTACTTCGTGCATTTCGGTGCGTTACAAAAAAAGACGCATAATGTCGTTTTCAACAAAGGAACTATATATATATAAAAAAAAACTACAGTTCTGAGTTCCCACTGCCTGGTGCATTACGGCGGTAATTTTATTCGTCTGTGGTGCGTGTGGGTGTGTGTGTGCAATGTATAAACATCGGCACTGGGGAAATAAAGGTAGCCCAGGCGTTGTGCTAGCCACACCTTCCACCCTGCGTGTGCTGCGTCAGCCTTAATAGGTGCTCGCCAACAGCCATTTGCCCCGAAAGTTTGTTCAAGGCTATATCTTGGGATCTTTTGTCTTTGTGTGTATGTTGAACTTCTTTCCCATGATGAGTAAGCCAACCCGTGTGTATGTCTGGGGGATAGCTGGCACAGCGGTTAATGGACTGTCCTGGGTTTCCCCCCGTCGGCCAATTCAGTCTTGATTTTAGAACTCGGAGAGTAAACATCCGAACTCGGAGGGTAAATATCTGTACTTGGAGAGTAAACATCCGATCTCGGAGAGTAAATATCCGAACTCGGAGAGTAAATATCCGAACTCGGAGAGTAAATATCCGAACTCGGAGAGTAAACATCCGAACTTGGAGAGTAAATATTAGCACAAACTGTGACTGAGCACAGTCAGTGCCGGATTGTTCCAGTAGCAAAAGCAACCACACATGCAGTAGTAGCTATTACACATTTAGTAGCTACTACATATGTCCCAGTAGCAAAAGTAGCTACACATGTAGTAGTAGTAGCTACTACTACTAGCAGTAGCTACTACTACACGTGTAGCAGTAGCTACGGTGCCCCCGCACTTTCAAGGGCCCCGCACTTTCAAGGGCCCCGCACTTTCAAGGGCCCCGCACTTTCAAGGGCCCCGCACTTTCAAGGGCCCCGCACTTTCAAGGGCCCCGCACTTTCAAGGGCCCCGCACTTTCAAGGGCCCCGCACTTTCAAGGGCCCCGCACTTTCAAGGGCCCCGCACTTTCAAGGGCCCCGCACTTTCAAGGGCCCCGCACTTTCAAGGGCCCCGCGCTAAATGCTTTCAAGCCACCAATTCCGGTTCAGTGATTCTGCACTTGCTCTATTACTATAGTACTATACCGCCTTCAACTTTTATGAACGACTGGGTGTTTAAGGTTAGCGATTTGTCGTATTATCTGGCTTTATAGCAAATAAAAAAATACAATTACTTTACTATGCAAGTAAAAAATTTGTGTTTTAATATTTAGGGCCCCTTTATCACATCTGCTACAGGCCCCGCACTAGCTTAATCCGGCACTGGGTATAGTTGCTATACTGCCCACTTTCTTTACTTACGTGCCATTCCGGCCTTAACCAGTGCTCGCTGACGGGAAATTCCCCCAATACTCTGTGATATATGTAGGATCTTTGTTCATTTTTGTAAAAAAAAAAATGCTACTACCTCTCTCCGTTAAGAGATAAATGTACAGGGAAGGGTTGCTCAATACTGATAACTTATAGATAAGTCCTGTTTATTATTACACTGTACAAATATTACTTCACTTCACAAGAAACGATACTTCCCCAGAAGCCGTCAGAGATCAGAGCACTGATTTTGGCACGAGACCCGAGTTTGCATTTGAGTTTCAGCCACCCCTGATTAAACCTGGTTCTCACGTGACGTAAAGTCGACGACGCTCTTTCAACTTGAGAAAGAAAATGAGTCCAGATTAACACGTAAGTAGGCTTTCGCGACCAATATTATCCATAAAATAGGGGTTTGGGGGTCATGTAAACAAAACGTGCCAATTCGTTCAGGACACCGGTGTGTTGGAGAGTAAACCCACAGCGTTTACAATGAGCGCGATGTTTCGCTGCTGATTACAACCAGCTTGAACGGGCGATTTGCCAGGCAAACCTTACTAATTGGCTGTGTCGGGTGGTGGCCGTGTTAACGACACATTTATATTTACGCGATCTACCTCCCCCCACCCCCCCCTTTATTATAGAAAAGCAGTACAATAATGATCAATGTACCAAAAATTTCCTATGAAAAAAAATCCTTTCAATGTCACGAGTTCATCTCTGTGAGAGGGCACGATTTGACCTGGAGATTGGGCAAAGACGTTTTTAATAGAGATGCCTATAGGCAGATTTCATTCCTATTCTTATTTTTCATTCTTTGATACTGGAAAAAAAGGTCCCATGATTTAGCAGGTCACCCCCGAGCTCTGAATGCTCTGACACGGGCATTGTCCTTGTAGTGATCGCAATGGTGAGACTGGTGTAGGCCAATCAGTTTCAAAGACAAATCATGTTTGTTTGCATGTTCACCACAACAAGTGCTGTGTGGTTAACGCAGATTTTGATTCCTTGCAAAAGGGTTCTATTTGGTGTTTGAACATCTCAGCACCTGTTGTATTGACAGAAAGGGTAAAACCTTTTTTTATTTTTCGTAGAGAGACCTACATTCGTCATCTTCCCCCGTCTGTCACGCGAGGTCCCAACTTGGTTGGAGCATCATTAGACCTCCTTTGCCAGTACCAAATTATAACAATAGGGTTTTTTCCCCCTTTTTTCTGGCAACAAAACTGAAACCTTTTTCGATAAAGCTTTCGTGACTGCAAGGATTCATCTTCTTTGGTTATTTCGGTAAAGTCACGTAGAATGAGAATAAAATAATAAATTGATAAAATAACACAATAATATTCTCATCGTGAGAATATGATTGTGTTATTTTATTCTCATCGTGAGAATATTATTGTGTTATTTTATTTTATCAATTTATTATTTTATTCTCATTCTACGTGACTTTACCGAAAGAACCAAAGAAGATGAAACCTTTTTGTTACGAGGAATCATGTGTGCATAAACCACAAGAATTGTGGTCAAAATGCAAACAAAAACACACTAATAATATATGGGCTGTACGCGTTTTGGCGTCCTCTGGTCTAGCACCAATTGAGACGAGGCTCAAAAGAAAGCCGTCTCTGGTGTGGACCCATCCGTTTCAAGGACAATGCATCATATTATCAGTGGTTTTTTTTTGTATTTTGACCACAAGTATTGTGGTTAATGCGCACATGATTCCTTGTAAAAAGGTTTCAGTTTTGTTGCCAGAAAAAAGGGGAAAAACCCTATTATTATATTTTGGTTGGGGGCAGCGAAGGGGGCCATATTGCCCTTCTTTTCTCTCCCTTTCATGTGGGTTCCGTCGGCGCAGGAACGGTCGACAGCGGATTTCTTCGCACCAATGTTACCGGAACTTTTCGGCGTGGTACTGTATCCCAGGGCTCGCATTTTTGTTGTAATACAAATAAAAGAGACCTCTAACAATTTGGTGGCCACCCACTGCCTCACTGCCAGCGCACCGCACAGCAATAGGCGTGGAGCGCACGCCAGATAGTGCGCACCAGTGTGGCTGCGGCAAGGCAAAGCGAGAGAGACTGGGGACTGCACGCCACTCATCATCCGTCCATTTCAGCGAACACATGACGACCGCGGACAATGCCATGGTACCCAAATGCACGGTCGAAGCTATTGTAAAGAAAAATAAACATGAAGTAAAACAGGTCCCTGCAGGGTGGTCAGGTAGGACAAGTCTCTGCGCTGTCTATTGCTGATTTTACACCCAACAGCAGGAGATTTCACTTCGTTAAGGTATTGAAAGGGGACGGACGGACGGACACATTAATCTATTGCAGGCTGGTACACTCAGTTTACAACTTCGTTCCTACCAGTAAAAAAAAAGACCTACACCTCTGGTGATAAATGCTGACATCAGTGTGTGCATCTTGACCCCATGTTTATTTTTTAAGTGATCTCAGCATTTCTGCGTTTTTGCCATCACTCACCTTGGCGTTGCGCACGGAACTGGGAATTGCACTCCCCGACTGCTCCGTACGACATGGTGCCTGTTCACGGCGCTCCGAGGTCCTCGCCCACGGCCACGTCTCTCTCACGGAAGTTCCCACACGTCGCCGGCTCGTCCAATCGGCGGCCAAGCAGCAGGCAAAGCCTCGCTGGAGAGGGTAACACAGCACGGGATATATCTGCATAGGGCGTTAGCGGCTCCGGTATTAGTGATGGGGTGGTCTTGGAATGTCAAAGCGATGAGTACGATTTTTACGAACCGTGACGTAGAAGATCCTGAGAAGGGCATGATGCCGAGAGGTATCTAATCTAATGGTGGTGCAATGGCGGTGGTGGTAGTATTAATTTGATGGTAATATTTGGTCACGGTGGTGGAAAATTCTGCTACATCTGGGCAGTATCAGGATGCACGCTCATCCAGTAACGAGCCAAATATGCTGCTCTCAAATTACGGTTTGCAGATGTTTAATCTAAGGCCATATTTGAATGCAGTGCCCGTCAAAAACTTTGGGTACAAATGTTCGTATGTCAGGGTTCAAAAACCAAAAAGTATAAAAAAGCTAACTCCTGAATTTTTGGGGAACCCAAAATAAAAAAAATGCTTTCAGATGTTCCTCGTAATTAACATTGATTCAACAATATTCATGAAAAATGTTAGTTTAGCCCTACTATAACACTCCTGGAATTGACACCGGTCACTCTCTTAAAGCTGTCTGTGTTAGATGGCTTTTTGTGGCTTAGCACCTCACATTGAGATCGTTGTGAGTTCAAATCTCGGTCCACGTTCTGTCATTAAAATCAGTGCCCGCTTTGTGCGAAGTCCACACAGTGAGTGTTTTATGATGAGACCAATCGCAAGAAGAGAACGGGGAATTTGTGTGACGTCCACACAGTGAGTGTTTTATGATGAGACCAATCGCAAAAAGAGAACGGGGAATTTGTGTGAAGTCTACACAGTGAGTGTTTTATGGTGAGACCAATCTCAAAAAGACAATGGGGAATTTGTGTGACGTTTACACAGTGAGTGTTTTATGGTGAGACAAATCTAAAAAAACAGAATGGGGAATTTCCACCACTGACTCAGGACGAGAAGTGACGGAAAAGCACGGCTTCACATTCATTTGACTATGCTGACACACCAGCTTATCAGACACGATATCAGACAGCACATCGTCACCAGTCATAAAAATGCTTTGTTATGTTCGAATGGTGAACTTCTGTCACACCGTCCGAGGCCAACCGTGCTAATCGGAGGTGCCTTAGAAATGTACACGCACAGAATATCAAGTGCTGAACGAATAAGCGGACAATATGCACCCACTTCACATAAAAAAGTATGATTTTGTTTTACACATGCTTTTCAGTCGCACGGAATCATTTCAGCAGCGTTGGTTAAACACATTGAAATCTCCGGACCTGGTTTTCGACATTTCATTGTCCCGCGGATCCGGTAGTGGGATCTGTGATATTGGTGCCCCCCACCCCCCACGTTAGTGTGGACGGCCGCTTGCGTTGTGGCCGAAACGTCGTGAGAATTTTATTGTGTTATTTTATTATTTTATTCTCATTCTACGTGACTTTACCGAAAGAACCAAAGAAGAGGAGTTCTCCTGTTTTCCGTGGCAGCATCTCTCCATACGCTACACACGCGTAGCTTTAAAAAGTGAACATCGATCGCGAAACGTTGCCGTAGCTGGAGGGTTTATAGTAAAATGTGCGACGAACTTCTTTCGACAGCGTACGTAGCCGACCGTGCTAAATCGGAGGTGCGGCAGGGGATGGACAATAAACTAAAACACAAAAAAAATAATCTGCTCTAAAGAAGTGAGTTTTCAAACTAGATTTAAAAGTGCATAAGTTCCAATTGCTTCTTAAAATGTAATGCTCATGTAGCTGCAGTAACTTTGTAAATATAAATTGTATCAAGAGCCAAAACATGCACCTGATAAGCATTGACATGTAAGATGCAATGACATATATGGCAGTACACAAAATTCGTGATCTGATCCCATCCGTGAAGGATGTCATTCCTGACTTACAGTACCCCGGGGTTTACAAATTGAGTTGTACCTGCGGTGATTGCTATATCGGGGAGACAAAGCGACATGTCTCTGACCGAATTCGCGATCACAACTCAGATTTGAAACACGGCAAAATAATTATTCTGCCGTAGCTGATCACTGTTACAACGCTGTGGGTGATCACGATATAATTTTCTCCGATACCAAGGTTCTTTGCAAACCCACGGGTTTTTATCAGTGATTTGTTCACGAGGCAATTCAGATCTACAAACACAGACACAATTTCAACCGAGAAGATGGTTTAAAATTAAGCAATCATTGAGAAAGATGTTCTAAATCGAACCAAACATTAACTAATTTTCAATGGTTCAGTATATTTTTCCTCAAACTTTCGCAGCTTTTAAAAATTCCCTTTTCACACCATCAATAGATAAACTCCCCCCCCCCCCCCCCGCGCCAACCGGCATGTGCACCCGCATGTACACCACCTCTATGCTAAGTCGGCCAATCAAATGCCAATTTTTATGCTAATTCCTTTGTCAAGGCACCTTGTTTCCTCACACACAGCTTAAAGGTCGCGGTCTGAGCGTGGCTGTGTTTCACTCCAGCGCTGTCCTCGAGACAGCCTGATCAATTCACCTGATGAAGGCCGCTTGTGTTGTGGCCGAAACGTCGTGATTGTTGTTGTTTTATTTTTTACCTACGTGACTTTACCGAATAGAACCAAAGAGTATGGATCCTTGCAGTCACGAAAGCTTTAAATCTAGAATATATGGCACGTATTTCATTGCTGCCTGAGGCAGGGGGCCAGTTTTGACAGTAAACTGATATAATATATTGGGGTGGTGTTTTTTATGGCATTTATTCTTGAGTGCTATGAAGGGCTATTTCCCGAAACGTCGTCTGTTTTTTAATTTTAAGACCACAGCGTTATTGACTGTTTGTTGTTTGTGAAACACTTCCAATAGCATCAGCATCAACCAATAATACATTACTCATTTGGTTATGTTCACATATACGTATCACATACTCCTTTAACAAGCAGTATTTAAAAATAATACAATAAAAAAAATACCATAAACGCACACGCGTTTGTCTTTGCGTGTAAAATACCTGAAGTTCACGAGCGAAGTTTCTCGACACGCGCACTCTGGCGTGTTCTTGAAGAAACGTGTGAAGCTCTTGATTTTAAACCTGAGGAGGAGGAGGAAAGAGATACACAGGAGGAACTGGCGGCGTGATAAGTGTCTCAATTCAGCTCGGAGAGAGAGGTTGGGTGTGAGCCGACGTAATCAACAATCCCACCGCACAATTTATTTCCTGCGCGCCTCCCCCGTACGCTGTAAAGGAGAACTAAAACCAAATAAATGTTTTGCATTCCCCGTTGAGGGATACTGATAGGGGGAGCGGTAGTGTAGCGGGTAGCGTGCTGCGCTACGATTCCCGCTCAGGGCCAACAGCAGTGACGATTGTCTGAACCGGTCCTGGGCCTCCCCCTAGGTCGACTCAGCCTCAAATGAGTACCTGGTACGGTGTGTAAATATTGGCACTGGGGAGAGACAAAGGCGGCCGGGCGTGGTGTTGGCCACCCTCCCCCTCGGGTGCCGCCTTTATAGGTGCGACTCGCAAACAGCGCTTGCCCCTAAAGTCTGTTTAAGGCGATTACGGTGAATATTTGTCTCATATTGAGAGGCATTTCCCGCTGCCTCGTAACAGACATATGCCATCAATCCACGCACACGGCCTGGTGTGACACGCATGGATCGGACACGCATGGGACACTTATGATGAAAATGGAACGGTAGCTATGGAAGGGCAGGGAGGTGAGGGAGCACACGAGTTAAGGACGTACTGTTTCGACTGTTCATAAACGTGTGTTTGGGCAATGCCACGTCGCCAGAAGGGGGAAGATGCCCGGTGAGAAAGAAGACTCTACAGGGTGGCCGCCAAAGGGTGGAGAACACGCCAAGAGGACGTCTTCTGATGAGATGGAGCGACGAGGTGAGCTCGTGTGCAGGTCCTGAGTGTGGATTGTTGGAACACGAGAGATTGGCGATGGGTGTTTGTTGTTGTTGCGAGGCGTTCATCCGGCAGGGGAGTGATCATGATGATGATGATGACACAACCGAGAAAGAGCCCGTTGAGAGCAAACATCACTTCCTAATAATAATAATACTACTGCCTCAGCAAAAACATGACGTGTCAACATGTAAACAAGCGTCACGTGGACAACACCATTTTGACACAAACCACACTTAACGATTACATATACAATCAAGATTAATACGTATTAACGTGAATATCATTTAAATTCGCATCAGATCATACGAATTATATGGATACTCATGCGTTTTTTTTTACACTTTATTCAACATTTAATAATAATAATAATGATTACCGCGTATTTGCATTAAGAGGCAGCCAGTTAATATATTCACAGGAACACAAATGAAGTGGAGTGGATGACAAATGTAACGCAGACGTTCACATCATTCCACGGGTTCGGGGCGTCACAATTACGATGGTCTTATTAGCTGTAATCTCCATATATATAAAAGGTAAAGTTGTGAATGTGTATCTGCTCAAAATGTTAAGCGTACTTCCCGACATGCAAAAAAACTGGAAATTTGCCATGTGGGTACTTTCCAGACTGTACACCATGCAAAAATTATAAAAATAGACTTTTGGTTTTTATTTGGGGGGGGGGGGAGCTCAATAATGCATCTATATTTTGCAGGGCAAGTGAGCTGTGACGTAAAATCTGTCACAAGACCCGCGCATGTGTAAACATCGCCAATGGGGAGACAAAGGCGGTCGGGCGTGGTGCTGGCCACCCACCCCCTCATGTACCGTTCCGGCCTTCATAGTTGCTCGCCAACAGCACTTGCCCCTACAGTCTGTTAAGGCTATATGGGGGATCTTTGTCTTTTTGTCTGTGAATGTGTCTGTGTGTGTGTGTAAGCGTAACGCATTGTAGTGTAGTGGTTAGCGCGCTGCGCTACAAACCCGGCCACCCGAGTTCAATTCCCGCTCACGGCCACCACCGCTGACGATTATTTCAACCGCTTCTGGGCCTCCCCTAGGTCGACTCAGCCTGAAACGAGTAACTGCTGTGGTGTGTGAACATTGCCACTGGGGAGACAAACGCGGCCGGGCGTGGTGGATCCAAGTCCCGGGCGAAGCCGGGTAGTACAGCTAGTACTGTATACAATTGCTGTTTGTCTCGAGTCTGCATCTTTAAGACACTTCGCAACCACAGCTGGAAAGAAAGATCACATAATATAAATGAATAATTTGGCGGGACCCTGGGGTCCCGCAAAAATCAGGTCAATAATTATTATTTTTCAGTCCGCCCCACTACGTGATCCCGACAGCAACGCGCCGCCCGCCCAGACTCGCCGTGCCAACAAGCGCCAGCAGCAGCAGCAGCTGGCGGCGATCGACACGATGGGCGCCACCCCCACCGTCCAAACGCGAGCCCCGGGGGGCGTCCGCCGCAGTCGCGCGCGGCGACGACGCCCTCCGGTCAGCCGTCGATCCTCAGCTTCTTTGCCAAGGCGAGCCCGCCGCCCCCCAGGTAGTGAATTTAACGTGTTTATGTAACTTTTCAACTTTTTACGAAACTTAGTGCCCCGAGTAGCTCTCGACGAGGCCAATCGATAAACCACTAGCTTTGTTGTCGGTAAGGCAACATGACTCATGTCGCTACGTGGGGTTTCCCCCCCCCCCCCCCGGGGCAGTGATGGGACCCCGGGGTCCCGCAAATTGCTTCAAATGTTGACAGTGGAAATTACAGAAATCTGATACTAAAATATAACCGCACAAAGTAACAACCGCACCAAAAAAATCTGCCAAGACACAACTCAGCTAACAAATTCCCCAGCATGCATGTACAACATCTGCTGGCAGCAGTACAATCATTTCTGTTCGTATATAAATACACGCACACAAATAACTACTCTTATCCATGATCCAGTCATCTGCGACACTATAATCCTCATCGGCATGGGTATGGCACGTTAGACAAATGTTAGCGTGATGGCATACGTTCACTGGCAAAGGACACTTCACGTACACAGAGGCCGGATCACAGCGTTCTCAGCGCCAAATGAAAGGAAGGTGCAAAACATTGATTTGAAGCTTTCGTGACTGCAGGGATTCATATTCTTGGTTCTTTCGGTAAAGTCACCACGTAGAAGGGAAACAATAAAAAAATAATAAAAATATGAAAAACAATACAATTCTCACGACGTTTCGACTGCAACACAAGCAATCATCATCAGGTGTGAAAACCACAGCAAGAAAAAAATAACCGCCACTTTTTTCAAAATTTCTTGCTGTGGTTTTCACACCTGATGATGATTGCTTGTGTTGCAGTCGAAACGTCGTGAGAATTTTATTGTTTTATATTTTTATTATTTTATTGTTTCCCTTCTACGTGACTTTACCGAAAGAACCAAGAATATAAAAACGTGTAAAACATTGTTAGAGGAAACATAAATGATCGCAGCGTTGACGCCTGTACGCCTTCAACGATCTCGCGCGAGCCTGCGTAATTTGAGACCCCCAGTGTGACAAGATCGCACAGTCACGGCTCCAGTTGGACAGGTAATGTGCGACTTTAATAAATGCGCGTGCAGCCAAAGAATATTTTGCGGAAACACTCCCGACAACGTACAGTAAAAGTTACGTCTTGGTATGTGACGATGCAGGAGTTCAGCTTTTATTGCATTGTGCTGTTTTGAGAGTCGTTAAAGTTTCTACTCATAGGTAAAAACTAAAAAAATGACAGGCATTTGGCGGTGCTCCATCACTGTAATACTTGCGTTTCTATCGCAATTAGAAATCTGGCCTACGACCAAGTCACCCTGAGTGCGCCAGATGCCATCCTAATTTTTTTTTACCATGTAAGGGGCCGTCCATAAATGACGTCACGCGATTTTGGAGGATTTTTGACCCACCCCCCCTCGTCACACGGCGTCACAAAAAGTCAGAACCCCCTCAAATATGACGTCACAAAGCTCTGCCCCCCCCCTCCAAAAAAAACATACTTCAAATCGCTTTAAACTATTGTTGTCATTGTAGTGCATATTTAATGTGGCGCTGCACTCTGATGTTGTAGGAGAAAACATTTATCAAAAAGTCTATTTATCTTCTTGGTTCTTTCGGTAAAGTCACGTAGAATGCAATAAAATAAAATTCTCACGACGTTTCGGCCACAACACAAGTAGCCTTCCTCAGGTGAAGAAACAGCCCAATCCGATGTGGACATTGTTGCCGTTAATGATAAGTGTGATTTGTAGAGTGTCTTGTCTAACTGGTCTAGTTCGGTGCGCGTAAGTCTGATTTTTTCTGGGGTAAGAGCTAAGCTAGTTCTAGATATAAATGCGTTTGGTATTACCTTAGAGTCGCGGCATCTCTCAGACTTACGCACATCGAACTAGACCAGTTAGACAAGACACTCTACAAATCACATTTATCATTGACTGCAACAATGTCCACATCGGATTGGGCTGTTTCTTCACCTGAGGAAGGCTACTTGTGTTGTGGCCGAAACGTCGTGAGAATTTTATTTTATTGCATTCTACGTGACTTTACCGAAAGAACCACGAAGATGAATCCCTGCAGTCACGAAAGCTTTACATCGAAATTTAAATTTTGATTTAAAGCTTTCGTGACTGCAGTGATTCATATTCTTGGTTCTTTCGGTAAAGTCACGTTGAAGGGAAACACTATTATCAATTGATTGTTTCCCTTCAACGTTACTTTACCGAAAGAACCAAGAATATCGAAATTTAAGTCTATTTAATAAAGTAGAACGTGTTGTCTATATTTATTTAAAGTTGCGCATTTTGATGTGACGTCACATTTCTCAAACCCCCCCCCCTCGTCACACATCGTCACAAACGTCTAACCCCCCCCAGGTGCGTGACGTCATTTACGGACGGTCCCTTAGTAAACACCTTTATGCGTCTGCCAGTGTGCTAACTGTTGCACCCTTGAAGGATCACATCACACCTGTTGCTCCTGTCCGTACCCGCATTGATTTTAAGATTCTCTTGCCCGTACATTCATGACCCCCTTCAGTGATATATATTCCATCAAGATCCTCTCAGAGTGTGCATTGCTCACTCCAAGGGTCTCTCGGCTTCACGCTTGTGGGATGACGGCGCCTTTTGCAATTGCGGCCCCGTGAACTCGGGAACTCCTTGCCCCCTTCGAGGTCAAGGAACTTCCGAGACATTTCACAAATCTTCAAATCTCGACCAAAAAAACCCATCGGTTTTTAGTCGAGATTGCTTTCTCTCTCGAGTTATCTTCAAACGCCTTTCTCGCTTCTTCTTCTTCTTCTTTACCTCGTTGATGTTAAACTATTTTCCGCCCCGCCATGCATAGCGCCCTGCGAACGAATGTTAAAGGGGGCTTTAAAAATTTAAATTGTCATTACTCGAAGGCTGGCATGGTACACGAAGG